CACGTGTATGTTAATTATCAACTTGTCGGTATTGTGTATCTTGATCTAATAATAAAGGACAATGCTGGCAAAGAGAAAATATAATTTGGGATGCCTCTCGAGGTCAAACGATATCTCTGTGGGTTGCCATTCAGCTGCCTGGTAGTAACACAACTGAAGAAAGCTGAAAAATTGAAGAATCGAAGAGTCTGACGTTCAGGAAAGGTGACTACGATGGGATGAAGCCTTTTTTTGAGTTAAGTACAGTGCGGAAATGAATTATTGAGACGATCTATTCAGGAAATGACCAATTTTCAGCTAGAACTGCAAAGAAGCGACAGATCAGTTTGTATCAGTCGAAGGCGAAAAGGATTAAAGAGACGCCAATGTGAGAAAATATAAAATAAGCCAAACACAGATAACAGAGAAGCTAAAAGGAGGTAAACTTAAAAACATGAACTGGACATATCAACGAAAGACACGACACAGCCACATTAGAAGAAAGAAAACAACAAAATATTAAGTGATAGCATCGAAAGAAGTAGCGATAACATTCACTGCAAATAATACTAATTTATGCAATGAGCTTAACAATAGTTAACTGAATTATTCCAGATAAATAAGAATCAGTACCAGAGACAGAAAAGACGATAAACCGTATATAAGTGTCAAGAACTGAAGCTGCTACTGAGGAAGGACACTCTTGATAGAACTTGATATATGAAAGATATTTGCTTCAGTTAGAACATTACCGCGAAAATTAACAGGAGCTGAACTTCAAAGCGAGCTGTTCACGTTGAGTTAAATCTTATGTAGTTAGAGGAGGGAAAGAACAAGAGGGGATATGATCATGACATTCAAAATATTGTAGGACATAGGCAGGGTAGACAAGGTAAGGTCATCACAATAAATGCAAGGTTAAAAACTATATATCTAAATGACCCATGAGGATACCAGGAGATATTTCTTCAAGACAAGAGTGGTAAAGAAATGAATGAGCTCAACACTGACACTGGAAGGTGATGACATACAGTGGTACACGGATATGTATATTAGGACTCAGTCTCATCAGTCGGTCAAAAGTTAAGAGGTATGATCAGAGCTTAAGCTTACTTCCAAGCTCAACTCAAATAATCCATTAAAAAGAGGTAATTGTACACGTGCACACCAACACATTCCAACACTTATTTGTTGTCACGAATAAGTGGGAACAGAATAATGTTCTCGTCCTACCTGCCATTACTCTCACAGCTTCTTCTTTTCTCTTAATATTACTAACATGTCCCCCTCCCCTCCCCCCCTCAACACACCTCTCTTTTTCTCTCCAAACATCTTTCTTCTCTTCCATAATACTCCCTCTCCCCTCTTCAGCAATAATTTTTTCCTTTTCCACCTCACCATCATCAGCCTCCCTCAACAAATCAGTAAATCAACTGCTCCTCACCCTCTCCACTTCTCATTCCATTCCCCATAATTACCCTTCACCTACCAGAAGGATGCACTCACTCCTGATCTTCCCCCTCACCTCATCTTTCTCCTCCTCAGCCTCCCATTGCAGCCAGTTTCCTAATCCCTTTTCACCCTCCACTCCTTTACAACAATCATAAAAATATCTCCCCCCATTACCTACAAATTCTTTCCCTTCAATTGCTCATTAAAACCAAGGAGATTCTACCATACAAAGATCATAAGAATGGGAGGTCTGAAAAAGAAAGGAAGAGAATATTGTCAGCTTTAAAATTATTTACATTAATGCAGGTTGTATCACAAACAACGTCACTGAATTTAGAGAACAATAAGAGAAAGAAAAATGAAGCTGTGCCCACAAAAAAAGAAAATCGTCAAGTGCAATATAAAGAAAGCAATATTGCCGGTAGGCTCTGCATAACATGGAGAAAGTGGGCAATGAAAGAGGCGGAGTGGTCTTAATGAGCACACATGGGGGAGAAGAATGGGTCACAAAATCACATACGAAACAATTCGCAAATAACTTATAAACTGGAGGTGAAAACTGGATGACGTTTCGGTCAGTCCTAGAAGATTATCAAGTCACGAGTCGGGAGATAATGGTTATTTTAGGTATGAATAAATAACTATAACGAATTTACAGAATACACACCACTATAATTTCTAAACCAAAAATACCCTTGATAGTAATATATAAGATTTTGCCTTATTAAGGAAGGCACAGATGAAAGTACAAATAATAATAACAAGCAACAACAGCAACAACAATTATAACAAGGTAACAATGATGATCATAGAAAAGACTGCCTCAGTTGCAAACAGAAGTGATCTCTCATAACATCCATCATAACATCCATCATAACATCCATCATAACATCCATCATAACATCCATCATAACATCCATCATAACATCCATCATAACATCCATCATAACATCCATCATAACATCCATCATAGCATCCATCAGGGTGAAGTGGATTGAAACACAGACTAGAAATGGTTTTCACCCTGAACGAGTCAGATATTTGGGAAGTCATGTCTGAAATTCACAGCAGTGGCAATAAGGTCTGACTACTCTGTAAATGTAATGACGAGAAGAATGAGAAAATAAAAGGGAAACAGAGGCCGGAATAAAAGCATACACAGATGTACTCCAGTTATCCATTTTAGAGCCTAAATCTTTTTTGCCCATTGCGCTACCGTCTACAGGATGGATATGGGACAGACAGTAAACTAGCCGCTTCAGTGGAAAATTAATCGACATACAGAAAGAAAAAACTAAGAATGATGGAGAGACTTCTGTCACGGATACAACGGGACACTGAATTCACGTGGAAAAGCTACACAAAACATGAGCAATTTCAATTAAGTTTTGGAAAACACTGAGACAGGCTGTGTGTTAGCCAGAAAGTGCATCGGCAGGAACGGAAAGACAATGAGCATTACACAGCTCTAAGAAAAGAAGCATAGAATATTTATAATAATAATTACTGTAGAGTAAGAAAGGAAGAGAAACCTTCTCTACTGCTGTAGTATTAGTACACTTTTGCTAACTGAAGCAGTATTAGCACCACTGAGTAAAGTAGCAGTAACACCACTGAGTACAGTAACAGTAACACCACTGAGTAAAGTAGCAGTAACACCACTGAGTAAAGTAGCAGTAACACCACTGAGTAAAGTAGCAGTAACACCACTGAGTAAAGTAGCAGTAACACCACTGAGTAAAGTAGCAGTAGCACCACTGAGTAAAGTAGCAGTAACACCACTGAGTACAGTAGCAGTAACACCACTGAGTAAAGTAGCAGTAACACCACTGAGTAAAGTAGCAGTAACACCACTGAGTAAAGTAGCAGTAACACCACTGAGTAAAGTAGCAGTAACACCACTGAGTAAAGTAGCAGTAACACCACTGAGTAAAGTAGCAGTAACACCACTGAGTACAGTAGCAGTAACACCACTGAGTAAAGTAGCAGTAACACCACTGAGTAAAGTAGCAGTAACACCACTGAGTACAGTAGCAGTAACACCACTGAGTACAGTAGCAGTAACACCACTGAGTAAAGTAGCAGTAACACCACTGAGTACAGTAGCAGTAACACCACTGAGTAAAGTAGCAGTAACATCACTGAGTACAGTAGCAATAACACCATTGAGTACAGTAGCAGTAACACCACTGAGTACAGTAGCAGTAACACCACTGAGTAAAGTAGCAGTAACACCAATGAGTACAGTAGCAGTAACACCACTGAGTACAGTAGCAGTAACACCACTGAGTACAGTAGCAGTAACACCACTGAGTAAAGTAGCAGTAACACCACTGAGTAAAGTAGCAGTAACACCACTGAGTACAGTAGCAGTAACACCACTGAGTATAGTAGCAGTAACACCACTGAGTAAAGTAGCAGTAACACCACTGGAGTTTACCTGGAGTTTACCTGGAGAGAGTTTCGGGGGTCAACGCCCCCGCGGCCCGGTCTGTGACCAGGCCTCCTGGTGGATCAGCGCCTGATCAACCAGGCTGTTGCTGCTGGCTGCACGCAAACCAACGTACGAGCCACAGCCCGGCTGATCAGGAACTGACTTTAGTTGCTTGTCCAGTGCCAGCTTGAAGACTGCCAGGGGTCTGTTGGTAATCCCCCTTATGTGTGCTGGGAGGCAGTTGAACAGTCTCGGGCCCCTGACACTTATTGTATGGTCTCTTAACGTGCTAGTGACACCCCTGCTTTTCATTGGGGGGATGGTGCATCGTCTGCCAAGTCTTTTGCTTTCGTAGTGAGTGATTTTCGTGTGCAAGTTTGGTACTAGTCCCTCTAGGATTTTCCAGGTGTATATAATCATGTATCTCTCCCTCCTGCGTTCCAGGGAATACAGGTTTAGAAACCTCAAGCGCTCCCAGTAATTGAGGTGTTTTATCTCCGTTATGCGCGCCGTGAAAGTTCTCTGTACATTTTCTAGGTCGGCAATTTCACCTGCCTTGAAAGGTGCTGTTAGAGTGCAGCAATATTCCAGCCTAGATAGAACAAGTGACCTGAAGAGTGTCATCATGGGCTTGGCCTCCCTAGTTTTGAAGGTTCTCATTATCCATCCTGGTAACACCACTGAGTAAAGTAGCAGTAACACCACTGAGTACAGTAGCAGTAACACCACTGAGTATAGTAGCAGTAACACCACTGAGTAAAGTAGCAGTAACACCACTGAGTACAGTAGCGGTAACACCACTGAGTAAAGTATCAGTAACACCACTGAGTATAGTAGCAGTAACACCACTGAGTAAAGTAGCAGTAACACCACTGAGTACAGTAGCAATAACACCATTGAGTACAGTAGCAGTAACACCACTGAGTATAGTAGCAGTAACACCACTGAGTAAAGTAGCAGTAACACCACTGAGTAAAGTAGCAGTAACACCACTGAGTAAAGTAGCAGTAACACCACTGAGTAAAGTAGCAATAACACCACTGAGTACAGTAGCAGTAACACCACTGAGTATAGTAGCAGTAACACCACTGAGTAAAGTAGCAGTAACACCACTGAGTAAAGTAGCAGTAACACCACTGAGTAAAGTAGCAGTAACATCACTGAGTAAAGTAGCAGTAACACCACTGAGTTAAGTAGCAATAACACCACTGAGTACAGTAGCAGTAACACCACTGAGTACAGTAGCAGTAGCGCCACTGCACCGCAAGTCATTCATCCTGTCATCTCCAGCGCTCACTTTTCCCTTTACTAGCGGGTCTCACGATGTTGCATCACAAGAATTCTTCTCTCCCTCCCTCCTCTCCAGTCTATATTTATTCTCATCAATGTCTAAGCTCTTATTTTTTCGTCTTCAAGACTCATAAATTCTGAATAATACAATTAACCAGCTCTTTATTTCTTTTGCTGCTGTGAGTCAAGAGGGGGTGATGCCACAGGTCTGCAAACAACGAGGACGTTCCAGGTCATCCTCAGACAGGACGCCTTGTTTATCCATTCTTCTCCCCCGGATTTCCTCGTGAGGGTGGGTCCTGGTGGGGTATATAAAGGTGGCAGAGAGCCTGCCAGGGCATCAGTTCCCTCCTTCCTCTTCTCCCGAAAGCATCTAAAATGAGGTCCCTTCTCTTAGGTAAGATCAAGTCCATTAGCCACCGGCTGTTTGTATGTGTAACTACATATTAGTAACTACAGAAGGTGAGTTATGCTCAGGATTGTATGTAGGGAGAGGTGTGCGGCTCTCAGCGTCTATATGTTGAGTTTGTTTTAATCCTTATTTTAAGGATAAAAGTATTCTTGACTGGTAGTGAACAGGTTAAATACAACCTTAACAACCCTGATGTAGTCGCTATGTTTTAACCTCAATTAACCTAGCGATCTAAATAGCTATACTAATAGTCTCGTGTGTGTACTCTCCTAATTGTACTCACCTAATTGTGATTGCAGGGGTCGAGACTCAGCTCCAGGCCCTGCCTCTTCACTGACCGCTACTGGGTCCACCCTCTCCCTGCTCCATGAGCTTTATCATACCTCGTCTTAAAACTATGTATAGTTCCTGCCTCCACTACATCGCATGTATGTGTGCGTGTGTGTGTGTGTGTACTCACCTATTTGTACTCACCTATTTGTGGTTGCAGGGGTCGATTCATAGCTCCTGCCCACCCCCCGTGTGTGTGCGTGTGTGTGCGTGCGTGTGTGTGTGTGTGTGTGTGTGTATGTGTGTGTGTGTGTGTGTGTGTGTGTGTGCTGTGTGTGTGTGTTTTGGTGTGTGTGTGTGTGTGTGTGTGTGTTTGTGTGTGTATCCCAGAAGGGAGTACTGTCCCTTTTCCTCTGTCACACTTCTGTCTTTTCCCTGCTTACTCCCGTCCATCCTTCCGTGTCATGCTTCTCTCTCTCTCTCTCTCTCTCTCTCTCTCTCTCTCTTGATCCTGGTTTCGTTCCCTGTCATTCCACCATTCTCTAATTGATTGCTCTAACATATGATCGCTCTCGCATTCCACATAACGTTCATGTTATTACTGCATTCATCAGGGAAGTTCAGGTGATGCGCGTGTCTGTTATATAGAGGCATAACAAGAAGCTTCCGCTGCCTTGCACTAGTATGGACGGTGAGGTATATAAATACAGCTGCAGTGGTGATAGTGGTATGAGTGAGGACTTAATTAAACTTTTCAACACTCTCCTGCAACAGTGGGTGTGGCTCTGGTGGGCGTGGCTACGTCTCTGCCACGCCTCGTCAAGAGAGATTCCACGCCCTTCGCCTATGAGCTGCCATCCAACGCTTCCTTCATCGTCGGTCCCATCATCACAGGCTTTGAGTAAGTGATCACCTGTAACTGAATGGTTAACATGTACTTGAAAGCCTTTCACTCAACGCTAGATTTGATGACTCGTCATTCTGGTCATGGCTCTGGTGGCTCTGGTGGCCTGGTGGTTAACGCTCTCGCTTCACACGGTGAGGGCCTGGGTTCGATTCCCAGCCAGAGTAGAAACATTGGACGTGTTTCTTTCCACCTGTTGTCTATGTTCCCCATCAGTAAAATGGGTACCTGGGTGTTAGTCGACTGGTGTGGGTCGCATCCTGGGACACTGACCTAAGGAGGCCTGGTCACAGACCGGGCCGCGGGGGCATTGACCCCCGGAACTCTCTCCAGATAAACTCTCCAGATAATGAGGCCCAAGATACAGTTGGGTACCAATTAGCAGACGGAGGATCGAGCCTCCACCAGTACTTATATTGAATGATCCACAGGGGTTTTGTCATTTACCTAAAGTAAAAAAAAAAAGTCCCAAATCAATTTCTTGTTCTTTTTTTTTGTGCCAGTCTTTTTTGTGTTGTTCACGATGCCTGATATATCATTCTTCCCCAGCTGCGCCACCAGATCTTACGGTTATTACGCTGACCAGGCCAACGCCTGTGCCATCTTCCACATCTGTTTTCCCTATGTGGATGCCGACGGCAACTCTCAGATGAGGATGTTCTCGCTTCTCTGTGGTGAAGGAACCATCTTCGACCAGGTCAGCACACTTTAGATTTCTCCCTTAATTCTTGATACTCATTAATGTAAAAAGAATATTACTTAGTTCTTGTTAAGAAAATTGAAAGAATTTTGGTTTTCATAGCAATTTGAGAAGGTATGCTGTTTCATGACCTTAGAGGCGCCATCTTTTTCTGATCCTGTTTAAAAAAATACAAAAATGTCTGTCAATAAATCTAGTTCACTAATTCTAATGCGTAAAGCAGTCAGCACGTTTATTACAAAGATAACATTTCCACACCTCTACCACAATGACAGGAATACTGAACGATATGTAAATTTTAAACCTTTATCTTCGTATTTGCACACCATCATGTAAGGGCTCATGATGCAAGGAAATGGCACCCCCATCCCTTTCCTTTGATCAAACTTGTTTGCCTGTCATTCCTTAAGGGCTGCATGTCCTCCTTGAAGCCTTCTTCACACAGATTGATTTGTTCACAGTGGAGTGAAATCTCAGGTTTGAACAGATCTAATTATTCATTTACGTCATAATTAATGTGTCTGTCTCCTGTCCAATAACAGTCGACGCTGACGTGCAACTTCCCCACACACGCCCTGCCCTGTGACGCCGCCTCCTCCCTCTATAACATCAATGATTATTTTGGTCGCGAGGACCGCCAGTTCCGGGACGGTTTAAATGGTATTTACTAGAGTCACCAGAAGGACCATCCACGCTCTCAGCTCCTGCCTGTGATGCTCTCCCTCTGAGGCAGGACCATCCACGCTCTCGTCAACCACTTCAGGCAAAACCCGTAATATTTTCATCTGCTTGGGGCACTGCTGGATCTACTACTGTCTGAGCCTCGCTTCACACAGCTTCACACACTGGAGAAACTTTTCATCTGCAGGCAGTGATGTTTTATTGTGTGTGTGTGTGTGTGCACTGATGATGTGCAGTTGCACAGAAGCTTATTAGCATAAGTTACGAACCCTGTTAGAGAATTTTGTTTTAAGCCGTGTATAAATGTAAATAAAGATTTAGAGGTTACACATTATTTAATGCCCTCATGTTGATATACAGTTGTTCACAAAACGACTCTTACAGAAGCTATATATTATGAACTTTCGCACTCGTTTCTCGTGAATAAAACCTTGCTCTTTATTGACACTCTCCACTTTACATTCATTCATTTACTATGAATAAAATTCCTTCCTTTATATGTTCATTTTTAATGTATATTTCATACCAAGGTGCCGAAGTTGGAGTTGCTGTCGACCTGCCTAGGAAGAGAGACCATGGCAGACCAACAATGGTCTATGATGAATAAAAACTCGCATATCTTGTTAGGTTTTGATTAGTTTATTTTTGTTGTGACTTTCCTTTTAAATCTTGAGAATCCCGAGTTAGTTAAAAACAAGGAAAGTAAGTTAATCCAACAGCATATAGCTGGTTAAAAATAAGATGCTGAATAAGAAGCAACTGAAGTTACTGAAGATTGGAATCCTAAATTAGTTATAATACTGAAGTGACATTAGTTTTAAATGGAAACTTTTAGTAATTATGAACGTTATTAATAATTTGAGCTAGTTAAAGGAGGATATTAACGTTCGGTCAATACTTTTTTTTTTAATTTCTGAGAAGAATTTTCAGCTCGGTTGGAATATTTTACTTCTACAGAGAATATGTAAACAACTTTGTATTTGCAGATGATAGTGGAAGATTTTAATTCCATGTAGTAGGATGGTTCACATCATCTCGAGTCTCAGAGGTTCATGAGTCACATAGGTGGGACTGCCTCATGAGCAAGACAGTTTGTACATACTGATAATATTTGAGTGAGTCTAATTTGCTAACAGGACACTTTACTCATACGGAGAATTCATAGGGCGGCATGAATATAGAATCTTCTATGTTCTTGAGATGGTTTTAACGTCTTATGTTCGTAATAAGGCGAAGACAACACTGTTATCATCAATCAAAATCAAGTTATTAGTCTCAGTGTAGCCACGTCAAGGATTAAATTAAAATAAAAAAATGAAATTGTGTGTATAATACCAGAAACTCATAAAAAATGTAGCGGAACTCTCTCCAGACATACTCCAGGTATACATTATATGCGTAATATCTATGAATTTATTTTTAACCATGTAATAGGAAATGAGATCGCTAGATCAGTCACACTGTAACCAGTGTTATAACTGTTATCTTCATGGGAACTCCCTGAACCCGGAAGTGTGATGATACAGCACCTAGGTAATGGAAGATAATTGGGTTTGATCCAAAGGAGGGAAGGATAGTTCCGATTCTTTGTATCTTTTTCACTAATCTTCATGTTGTTTATTAATTTTGTGTGGGCTCTACTTGAGTACCTAGTACTCGAAGACAAAACGAGCATATTCTGTATGGACTGCCTTGAACGATTCTTTGAAAAGATTCCTGACCATATAATTTTCAGCCACACTCGTCTGTATGGAAGGAGGAATATTGGGACACGAGCACTTGATCAGTCCATCACTAACATACCTTCTGAGAGTAACACAGAACTCTCTGACTGTGTAGTCTCTGACATGAGAGGCTCATAACTAGTAAGTCTTCCGTGTGATAAGTGCGGAACACATGCGAGTGATGCAGTATTAGATAACATCATTATCATTCCCAACACTCAAGCGACCTTGCCATATCCACAGGCCCTAAGAGTGACAGACTTTCTCTCTTGCAATAGTAGCGTGACTGGTGGGCGTGGCTGCGTCTCTGCCACGCCTCACCAAGAAAGACTCCACGCCCTTTGCATACGAGCTGCCCCCATAGTCAGCCGCATCATCACAAGCGTGATAGGTTTGTTTACCTTTGTTACCAAAGCCATATATCCCAAAATTCAGTTCTGCAGCGCATGTATTGCGAGCAGCAATGTGGGAAGTACAGTGCCTGCACTCTGAAGGAGGGCTGGGGATGCTGCAGTTCATGGAGTTAACTGAATTGTGATGTCTGTGCACTTCTGACAAGACAGCAGTTGTGCGGAAAATTCCGATAATTTTCCAAGCATTTGTGTGTGGTAGCTAATAGGAAGGCAATGTTTATGTAATAATGCAGGTGTGTGTTGTTGATGTGACTTTTGAAAGGTTATAAGACGCAGGGGAACCAATATGTTCCCTAAATTTCCTTATTTATTGTAATCATTTAATTAATATGTAATTGTTGTAATGTCGGAAAAGTTAATATTCTAATAAGGAAAGTGTATTACACATCTGGAAGTATCACTAAATTTGAATAAATATATGTGTACAAGATAACCTAGTACAGGCAGAAACAAATATGGCGTAACGGTACAACGGGCAGGCGAGTTTGTGACTATTTTATTGAGTGTAATCGTGCCTAATAGAATTATAGACGGAATTTCTTCATTACAAGATAAGTGAAGAGGAAACACATCCGGGAGGGTCCAGGTATAAAATGAAATGCAACTATAAGGATGATACGAATGAAAATGTGAAGCGGTAGCTACACCACATGTATCATCCAGTAATGTACGCCTCTCAGGTAAATTAGCTGGATATTTCCCAATATTCATGTTGTCTTACTGTTGAGAAGCGTTAGGATATATCACCAAGATGGTAAGTAAGATGTTCTTCACTTGTTGATATATGATATTTAATAATTTATAATTGTTAAAAAAAATAGTAGACTAAATATTTAAAGCCGTCAACGTCTTGAGTGGAACCATATATTCCTAAACAGGAACCATATGTTCCTAATTAGGAACCATATGTTCTTAATTAGGAACCATATGTTCCTAAATCAGGGTCCCGGTGTTAGTTGGGGAGCTGAGACTGTGAACATTGAAGGAGGGACATTGTTTTCGACCCCAGTATCTCTGAACTCCCACAAGTCTCCATGATACATCAACAACTAAGTTACAGTTTGTTTTGTGTCTAGAGTTCTTCCCAGTGTTTGGGTGGAAAGTTAATTTGAGATTGTTAGCTCTTAAAAAAATCCCCCACACAATTTCTAAAAAGTGGAATGAATAACTGAATATTTTTTTGGGTGGGAGGTGCACCCTGCCATGGTGGGAGACGGCTGGTGGAGGTGCACCCTGCCATGGTGGGAGACGGCTGGTGGAGGTGCACCCTGCCATGGTGGGAGACGGCTGGTGGAGGTGCACCCTGCCATGATGGGAGCGGCTGGTGGAGGTGCACCCTGCCATGGTGGGAGACGGCTGGTGGAGGTGCACCCTGCCATGGTGGGAGACGGCTGGTGGAGGTGCACCCTGCCATGGTGGGAGACGGCTGGTGGAGGTGCACCCTGCCATGGTGGGAGACGGCTGGTGGAGGTGCACCCTGCCATGGTGGGAGACGGCTGGTGGAGGTGCACCCTGCCATGGTGGGATACGGCCGGCGTAGTAAAACAAAATAGAAAAAAAATTATCGACACGTCTATTCCGTTTCCACTGCCAGTCGACGCTGTCGTGCAGATTCCCTACACACATCCTACACACCCTGCACTTTGACACCGCTACCGGCCTCTATAGTCTATAATATCAATGAGTGTTTTGGCCACAATAACCACCAGTTCTGTGACAATCTAATTTGATTGATGCCTTATTGTAGGTTTGTGTGTTGATGTGTATTTCAGTTTGTTGTTCTTGTACTTCTAAATTTACTTCTTTTTTTTTCTCCTCTTCATCTTATTCTTCTCTCTATCCTTATTATTTTACATTTTTTTGCCTAAAGCGGTATATAAAGGTAAATAAAATAAAAAAATAACATGTTATTAGATACGTTATAGCTCCCAAATCCTGTTTACTGAGACTTATTACATAATGGAAATGGCTTGTATCGTTGTTATTTCTTGTCTTGCTACGGCTCCAGACCGTGCTGTGGCTCCAGACCGTGAAGTGGCTCCAGACCGTAAAGTGGCTCCAGACCGTGCTGTGGCTCCAGACCGTGCTGGGACTCCAGACCGTGCTGGGACTCCAGACCGTGCTGGGACTCCAGACCGTGCTGGGACTCCAGACCGTGCTGGGACTCCAGACCGTGTCTGCGGTTCTAGCCCGTGGCTGCCGTGTTTTGTTTCCAGCCAGAGTAGTAGGGGAAAAGAGAGAACTCACGTAAGGCTGGATACTGTAGTTGTTGACTTTCTTTTATGTTCTCCATGAAAACAAAATCACATTTTAATTAAACGAAAATGTGAAGATATCGTGTATCTGCGTGTTTAATTTTTTTTTTATATTTGTAAAGTACTTTAGCCTTCGTCAAATTGGTTAAAAATTGGTTTGTTGTGAATGTCGAGTGTAATGAAGGCTAATAAAGACCATTTTAGGTAAGTGATAATTTATTTATTTATTCTGATTCGATCAGGCCAGCTCCCAGGAGGCCTGCTCTTGGACCGTGCGATGACCCCCTAAACCGTCCAGTGATTATCTACAGGCAACCATAGTGATTATCGAAGTGGATTAAGAAACGAACTAAAGGAGGAGCCAACTACGACTAATTATAGACAGTAAATAAAAATGTCTTCCAAGCATCTAAATATTTCGGAAAATATTTTACCCCCGTCCTTAACAATTGCCAACACAAGAACTGGGAAGGACTGCAGCAATGTGAGAGTGAAAGATGAAAATTTAAAATATACGTTTACTTTGCAAACGAAGGTTTATAAATATGTTTTAAAATGGGTAAAATATAAATCAGACAATTTTTTCCATATGCACACATTTTCTTATAAACACAATGCTGATGGAAAAACAAAATACGAGTAAAAGTGAACTAAAATAACATTAAAACAATACAAAAACTTGTACAGAAATGATAGTCTTAACGTTTCTTTTAAATTATAATTAATATAACTAATTTAATGAACACTGTGTGAAGTTACGTGTAAGGATGTGTAAGGCAAAGAAAGTGAGTTTCAGTCAGTGTTGTGAATCTCAGGCAAACTGAGAGTTTATGCTCTGGTGGAGGTAACTGTGCTAATAAGGCGTCTCATTGGCTCGAACACAAGGTAATCGGGTGGCATTCCCACACCTGTGCCTGTATACTATATAGGTGCAGGAGTGTAAGTGTTGGCATGCTACCTGATGCCACCTGTTATTAAGGGTTGAGAGAATCTGGTTCCGAATCATTATTCAAGAAGGTATAGGTGTTTAGAGGCTCAGAATCTAAATATTTTTTTAAGTAGGTGGTAAATGTCTAGAGGCCCTTGGTATTAGTCCTTCTTCATGTAAGTGTTAGATACCTAGAGTCCCTGAGTATCATTCTTCATGTAGGTCTTAGACACCTAGAGGTCCTGGGTCTGGGCTGCCAGCACCAACACTGGTAGTGTTGCGGAGGTAACCACAGTGAGCTTGCTTGACGGGCTTGTAGTATTCCACCTGGACTCCATTC